AAAAAAAAAAGAGCAGCTGTGATGGAGGAAAACGGGCTGTGGTTAATCTCTCTTCCTTCATGGAAGGAAAGGAAGCAAGGTAGGGAAGAGGGAGGCTTGTTTTGGAAATTTGTGTCAGGACCATGCTTTAAGGACAGTTGTTTAGCAGGGAAAGGGCGAGGTGGCAAATGCTTGCAGGGAGAGAGTGTAGCATCCTAGGCTTAAAGATCCCCACTGACCCCACTTTGTTTCTCCCATTGGCTGCAGTCCCTGGGGTTTGAACTGGGAAGCTGGGAGTTAAGTTTGAGTTGCATTTTGCACTTAAGAGGAATTCAGTCTCTGGATTGTTGATCCAAGGCAGGAAGCAAGGACGGAGATGAGATTAGGGGGTAATTCAAAGCTGAGAGGCATTCCTTGGCTGTGGAAACTCTCACCCCAGATAACAGTGATAAAGGCGGGAATGGCAGAGCCACGGTTCTGCAGAGCAGCCCCAGGGTCCTGCCAACCTCAGGGCCTATTCCCTCAGGGACATTGTGTTGGCTTCCTCACTCCTCTGTCCCCTTCCCAACGCAGCCAAGCCCGCAGGGTCGCATCCTTACCAGCACACTGAGGTCCTGTGGAGAGCACATCAACCCAGTAGCCACCTCGGAAGACTCCATTAATACCCACAAGACTGACTGTAGGCCACCATCACACACCTGAGACCTGTGGGAGGACACAGCCCAGAGTGAGGGATGCTGGCACTGGGGACTGAGTGCTGTGTGCTGTGGTGAAGGGTGACTGCACCGTGACCGGAGTCACTGGTCACTTCCTGAGGGCACAGTTTGCAGCTTAGTTCAGCCAAGATGGGGCTTGGTGATCTCACGTTTTTTCCAACCTAACTGATTCTGGGATTAACCCCACTATGATGAGCTCCAGGCAGCAAATACGGACAGATGCAGGCAGGAGAGCCAGGCACCCAGCCAAACCCTCAGTGGGCTGTGCCCTTCCCAGCTGGCAGAGCCTGGAAGGGAAGCAGAAGGTCCCTGACCCTCCATCCTCACCACCCACTGTGGCCTTTGGGCTGGTGGACCTGTTTCAAGGGATTCGCTCATCTCCCCTTCCCAAATATGTCCCTGCTTACATTTTATCTGGAAACATTGGCATGTTGCATATTTTGGAAGAACCATTGGTTCCCAAAGCCTCGTTACTCCCTATTTTTATCTGCTGGGCCTAAAATAGCCAGAGAATTCTTCATGGATCCAAGTCTGGGGCCGGCTGCAGCCAGGGCTGGGCCTCCTGCCCTCCCAGCTGAGTGATCTCGTGGCCTCAGCACAGGGCTGCAGATGCCAGGCAGATGGGCAGAGCAGTCACATGCCAGCACGGGCAGCTGATGCCAGAGCTTTGTATCCACTTGCAGCTCTCCACAGGTGGGTGTGGAAGCAAGAGGCTTCCCAGCAGGGATAGTTCCCAGCTAGGATGGTCCAGGCAGGCTGAGATTGCAGGGCAAGCAGTGCTCAGTGTCCACCAAGGCTCTTTTCCCTCGTCCATTTGAGCCCCCTTTGTTTATTTATCCACAAAGGCCGAAGTTAGTTGCAGAGCATATCTTGCAAGGCTTTTTCCATCTGAAGAGGTCCCAGATGGAATGGGATCTGTCCCTCCCTCCTGCTGTGCAGCTGGGTGCTCAGTAAGGCTGTGCTTCTTGTTTTGGCAGCTCCACCACCCCAGGCTGCCTGGATAGTTTTCCTTAAGGTCTAATGAGGTGATTGTGTCGGGGCTTCCTTTTCCATCACAACACCCCCCTCTGGCACGGTGCCTTTCCATCCTGCCCCAGGGTATGTGGGAAACTGTTGGGGTGAATCGTGGCACAGACATCCCTTTCTGGGGATAAGGAGGGCAACTGGACTTCGGGTGTCTGCTGAAAAGTGGCCACCCACCCTGATCTGCTGGAAACCGGGGGAAGCTCAGGGTAAAGGTGGAGGTGGTCCCCAGCCAGCACAGAAGGATGGGAGCAGGACAGTGGCACTCACCCGGCATTCAGCAGAACTGACGGGACTTCCAGCCCTGAGAACCAGCCTCGGAGGGAGGGAGCCAGCGCATCTGCAAAGACAAGGGGGACACAAGGTGAGAGGGGGGTGGCTGCTCACCTCGCTAAGATCAGGCTGCGTCTGGGCTCCCTTTTCCTGGCTTTTCCCGGCTTTTCCCAGGCACAGGGTGGAGGGAAGTTGGAACACCAGCAGTACAGTCATCCCAGTTCCAATTCCAACAGTAACACTGAGGCTGAGTACAGTCCCCGGCATCGCTGCTTCCAGCAGGATGGAGCTGGGACAGCAGCACCATGGTCCCACTGAGGAGGAGTGAGCTCATCCTTCTTAGCTCCTGCAAAGCTCACTTGAAACAGGGTGGAAAACATCAGATGCCAAAATTTGGCGTGCAGGCACTCAGTGCTCTGCCAGATAATTCCAAGCCAGCCCCACCATCCCTCCTGCAGTTCCTGGTCCTGCTGCTGTCTGCAGGATCCAGCAAAGCAGCTCCAGTTTGGATGATGGCACCAGTCTCCAACACCCACTCACCAAACCCGCACCACTGGCAGCTGCACAGGGGGATGGGAAGGTGCCACCAGCACCCTCCCCACCACGCTGATATTTCACATCAAATAATATTGCTTCTGTCTAACATCAGGTCTCAGCCTGGGTTTTCCCGAGGGACCCTCAGAGCTTCTGTATGCCTGTTTCCTTGGCTGTGTGCTTCCCTGAGCAGGGCAGGTGCTGCCTGTTAGCAGTTATTTGACAAGGCAAGTACATAGCTGCAATAATATTTACCAACGCTCTTCCTATGAACAGCAGGGCCCAAAAAGCTGGAGTTTCATCCAAAGGCTGCACATGGTTTGCACACTGAGCACTTTTCCTTACCCTCCAGCTCCCAGTGATGGTGGCTCTGGATAACCTGACTCAATCCTGGCGGGCCAAGGCCAAAAGCCTTTCAGATGCAGTTTATCTGGCAAATTTATTTCCAGATATTTATTTGCTTGTTACCTCCTGTTCATCACTGAGCTGGAGCCAGCTTGCTGCCGGCAAGATGGAGCAAAAGCCGGGATGATGTCCAGTATGGATGCTGAGGAGGTAGCTCCCCTTTCCCCCCTTGTGGCAGGGGTCCTTTCCCAGCATCCCCATGATGCTGCAAGGCTGGCACTGCAAAGAAATCCTCTTCCTCCGCCATTTCCACTTCTTCTCCTCTTTCCCCCGCTCCTCTCCCAGGCGGATGGTTAATTTTTAACAGCCACATGCTGCCATCGGGGGCCACCGGCAGCGGCAGCCAGCAGAAAGTGCTTGTGACGAGGCAGCACCTCGTCAATAAAAGATGGATCCTCCATTTGCGCTTCGCTTCCCTCTCCTCCCCGTGAGAGCTGTTTGGCTTCACGCCCCATGAAAAGCATCCCAGCGGTGCTCCAGGGGCAGCCAGGGGTTCTGGAGCCCTCATCTCACACTGGCAGCCGGATGGGTGGTTCGGTGCCAGGAGCGATAGGAATGCTCCAGACCCTGAGAACATCCCCAGCCCTCCGTCCTCCCTCACCACCTGCCCCACCACAGCTACCAGCGAAAGTAGGAAGGCAGAGAGAGGTGTCTGGGGTAAGACAGGACCCCTGCCAGCGTTCAGCTCCGTTTGGGAGCCTTCCCTAAATCTCAGGGAGCGGGGAGTGAGTGTCTGTCAGCCGGGCAGAGTTAGTGGTGCGGTGAGCACCGAGAGGAAGGGGGTCTGGGGTGGGCAGGAGAGTGAGCAGTGGAGGTGGATGGGTTGGAATTACCTGGGCGTGCAGTGAAGCGGGATAGGTGAAAGCAGGAGGAGGTAGAGCAGGTGCTAATTCCGCTGGGTACAGAGGGTACGGCCCCCACACTTCAGGGCTACTGGGGTAAAGTGCAGGCACTGTGAGCTCATCTGCAAGAGAAGAAGAGGGAGAGTTAATGGTGACCACAGGGCTGTGACCCTCGCTGCATCCTTCCTTGTCCCCTTGAGGCAGGAGCAGAGCTGGCCTGAAAAGTGTGAGATGCCACCACTGAGAGCTGACTCGCAAAGCCAACAATGCTATGGGGCTGGAGGCATCACTCAGGGAGCCAGGGCTGGGCTTGTTGTCTCCAAGAGGTTTAGTAATCCCAGGGATTCAGCAGAGGAGAGTGTGCAGCTCATGCCTGTGTGCAACAGCAAGGTGAGGAGCCGGCATCTGCACGAGAGAAACTATTCCAGAAGCAGAAACGGGCATGGAGCACTCACGGCAGGACATGGCCAAGGCCTCTCCTGAGACCTCATCCTGCTCCCAGGCACCATGCCAGGCTGGCTGTCACCTGTCCCAGGCCCTCTCCAGCACCAGCAGCTGCCTTTAGAACTCCCAGCACGTGCCACCACGCAGCAAGCAGGTACCAACTCTTCCAGTGGGACCTGGTATTCCTCTTATTCCCCTCAGCACCCCCTCACGGCATCCCTGCTCCTTCCAGCCCCTGTGCCTGCCAACCCGAGCCCTGCTGGCAGTGCAGGGGGTACTCACAGGGCTCCCGGGCGATGAACTGAGGTACAGCGGTGGGGAGAGGGGTGCTGGGATTTGGGGTGCCCACCAGCTTGTTCTTGGCCATCTTGGTGTTGGCCTTGGCAAACTCCAGCCGCAGCGTCTGGGGGATCTCGGGGTCGAAGCGGATGCCCTGGGGGAAGGAAGGAGGGAGGGAAGGAGGCGCGGCGGGTGGGCGAGCACCGCCGCGTGCCGGCCCCGCAGCAAAAATAACTCCCCGTTATTTATGGGTTTTTTCAACTTCCAGCCCTGAAATGAGCTAATTTGCCGGCCCCCGAGGCGGCTCACATTCCTCCAGCATCTTTAGCATCGGCACCATATTTGGCAGTCGGCATCCCGCAAGGCCGAGCTCTTATCCAGAGGGATTAGCGGAGCCAAAAAAAAAAGTTTTACATTGGAAATGAAGACAAGGAAAAAAACAACCCCAAACCAAAATGCAGGGAGAACTGGGGGGGAACTGGAGAACTAGTTCCACGCAGTTCTGTCCTTGATTATTTTCAGGTAACTTCACAAGTTGCTAAAAGTAAATGAAATTTGCTTTTTTCTTTTGCAGATTTAGCTGGGAATTTTCCTGCTGAATAAACTGGAAAGGCTGGGAAAGCTGTTTCTCACTTGTATCTAAGGCTCAAGTCCTGAGGGGTCAAGTCCTCCTGGATGGCCCTGACAAAGGTGAGGGAGATACAGCCCCCCAGGAGGGAGGATGCAGCTGAGAAACAATGATGGGATTGTCTGGACAGATGGGGATGCCATGGGGCCAGCTGGCATGGGAGGTGCATATCCTTGGGATGGAGGAATTCAGAGAGTATCTGGGGACACGAAACAAGGGGAACATGGAGAAATGGAGTGGCTGGGCCAGGCACACTCACGTTCAGCGCGTTCTTCGCTGCCTCCGCCTCGGAGCGGCTGTCGAAGCTGACGAAGCCCACGGGCTGTGGAGGAAGGACAGGAGTCATCAGTCAGGTTCCTGGGGAGCAGAGAGGGGAGCCCCTCACCCCAGGGAATGGTGGTACCAGGGAATGGTGGGATAGTTGCACCATTTGGAGCAGCTCCTACCTGCTTGGAGGTGAGTTTGATGAGGGACCCTTCGTACCCCTGCAAGGAAAGGATTAAAAAGGGTGCTTGGTGGAGATCCCCACAAATAAATAATAATAACTGAATAAACTGACTGAATTAGACTTCAGTGGCTTCCCAGATCCCAGCAACTGGCTTGGGGCCACGGGACTGGAGCAGAGGCCAGCTCCATGCTTTCAGCCCTCCCTTCCCTCCCCAGTTTGATACCTTAAAGGGTCTGAAGAGCAGATAAAGTTCCCGGGGCTTGATGTCCAAAGGCAACCCACTGACAAAGAGTGTTCTCACCTGGAAAAGAAGAAAGGAGGTTCCTGGGGACCCTCTCTCATCCCTAACTTGGGGATACCCCCACACTTCCTGCAGCTAGAGGGACAATGCCAGCCCAAGGAGAACCTCCTGGGAAGACAAAAGCCTTAAGCCACAGTCAAGTGATGCTGAATTTTTGAGAGGGGTGTCCCCATCCTTCATGTGGCCATGGAGGAAGCTGCTAAGGCACCATGGAAAGGTAAGAGAGACCTGTCCTCACTCCACCAGTCCTCTCCAGGATAAAAAGCTCACAGAATCCCAGCACCTTCCTACTCTGGTCTGGCAAACAGGATTTCTCCCATCATCCCCAGCAGATCCCGGACTCCACAGACAATGCCTATTGTCTCAGTTTAATTGCAGCAGCTCATTAAGGACTGGGAGAAGTAAACACCAACTCTTCTTCCTGGAGGAAAGGCCCTGTTTTGGAGGGGGCTGGATTTAAGCAGCTTGTCCCTGGTTTGTACAAGTCACCTTTTAAGGGATTTTAACCCTTTTTGGGTGGATCTAATGCTTGTCATGGTGCAGCATCCTCAAAGCTGGGATGTTCGGCAGAAATTCTGCTCCCTCCACCCTAGGGGGGAGGTGGGGCTCCTCAGGGATGGGCAAACCCTGTGCTGGGATGGTTTTGCTTTACAACCAGCTCGTAACCAGGAGAGCAGTGTGGGGAATTGAACCTGCTGTTCCTCTCCTCATCCCCAGAATCTCATCGTAATACTTCGGGCTGGAGAAGAGGAAAACCTCGATGTAATTTATTTAATTTTTTTGGCCAGGCACCCTGCCTGCCCCATTCCCTGGGAAAGAGACATGGGAAACAGCCAGAAACAGCCAGCCCAGGCCTATTCTTTTGCTGACATTTCTTCTTTCTCTTGCAGATAAGCTATCTCTCCCATCTCCCAGCCTGGGAGCAGCAAACATTCCTGCTTTGTGGAACAAAACCTCTGGCTGACCTGTATCTATTAAATAACAAAAGGTACTCAGCTGTTTGCACACAGCCCTTGTGTCAACAGCCCTGGTGATACCCATCCTGGGTACCAGCATTATCATCACCATCATCATCCCTGCGGGTACCAGCATCCAGGCTGGATGAAATCAGGGAGAGGTGATGCGCTCATCCCTTCCTGAGCCAGGGCTGCAGGCAGGCACAGCCTGGTAGCCTGTCCCCTCTACTGGGACCATCCCCCAAAACGCCTTAGGGGACCCCTGCCAGCTTCCTGCCTCTCTCCTGAGACCAGGGAGTGATGGAGCATCCGACAGTGCTCAGTGCTGCCCAGGCCCCCGGTGGAGACTGGGGTGCCAATTTCTCCTGGCAGGGGCTAGGGAGGGATTCACCTGGAGCATCTCTCCTTGTGCCCATGAAGTTGAACCTAAACAAAGCAAACTTTTCCTTTCCTAGGGTAAAAAATAGTCGCTTTCAGACGGGTCCTCCTGAGCACGGCTGCTGTCCAGGGAATCAACTCTCCAGACACATCCACCCTCCAGGTGGGTTTACATCCCAGGCAGGCCAAGCATCCCTGCACGGTGTCCCCTGTCTCCCTCATCCCTGGAGCCGTCCCTGGCTTCCTGCCTCTCCTCTCCTCTCCCAGGAGAGCTTCAGGAAACACAAGGGACGTTGGCCGCAGCTCCAGTAGGAGGGACTAGGGGGAGTGGGGGAACCCGCTGCCAGTTTGACGCTTCCCTGAAATCCAAACGTACATGCCCAAGCCTGCCAGACCATTTATCCCCAAAGCCACATGGGAGAGAGACAGAGATGAAAGATCCCAAGGAACCCTCCGAAATTCAGCCCCACAGAGGAAGGGTTTCTCTTCTCTAATGACTTTGTTTTCTTTGCAAGTTCAAACGCAGGTCGGCCAAGTTTAAATCTGTAAAATTATACAGCGGTAAGAGGGAGAAGGGCTCCAAAGGATCCCCCAGCTGGATTCCAGCCCCAGAAGGGCTTTTTGGGGCCCAGGGCAGGGAATGGATACAAGCTTCTGGGTGCTTCCCATCTGCACCCCACAAATCTGGGCTGCATCCCCAGCCCCACGGATGTTTGAGTAGGTCCTACATAAACAGCATCCTTTCACTTGGTAACAAGCAGGTAGGACTGGCAGAGCAAGGGAGCATCCTTGGGGATAATCCCAGCAGGCTGGACAGATTATCTTTTTGCCAAGGGAAAGATTCTAGACAGAAATATTACTTCTGCCCTTAAATGGAAGGGGAGCTTTGGCCTGTGGAGAGCTCCTCCAGGTTTTTTTTTGTGCTGAGAGATCCCAGGGGTTCAGTCCCCATCCTCTACCAGAAACTCCTAGGGAAAAATTCTTCCCTGAGCAGGAAAAAAAAAAGCTTATCAGAGAAATTGCCAGGCAGCAGGCACGTATACATTCTTCCATAAGGAAGAATTACTCCTTCTGGGAGGTGGAGCAGGCACGGTGCCTGCTCTCAAGGATGTCATGGGACAGGCCCAGACTGACAGCTCTCAAGGAAGGATTAAAGGGCGCTGGAGCATGGGATTCCCCCAGCCTGAACCCCACGGCTTTTTTGGACAGCCTGAGCTGTCTCATTTCAGTTCTGTTGTACGAACATCTTTCAGTTTCTTTTTGGTGGAGCATTTCTCCATCTCCTCCTTGCTAAAATCTGTGGTGAAGCCAAAGATTTAAGTCAGAAGTGCCAATGTTTGCTCCAGGAGGAGCTCAAAGGTGATCACATTGACTTCCTTTCATGGGGATGGCAGCTATGGGACTGCTCTAAGTCCCTTTCTGCAGTCCCCCTGTGCTCCTGCTGCTGCACTCCCAGATTTGCCAGGGCTGTTGGATCCTGCCTGTGTTGCCTAAATTATAATATGTCCCCTCCTGGCTTTTGTTTTCACTGCAGGAAGTCTGCTCTTCATCTCTACTACTCTCCTCTTCCTTGGAAATCATGTCCATCCCACTTTCTGGCCTGTCCCTTTCACCTTTGCATCTCGCCATCCCATTCTGTTGTCCCTGAAATCCTGTGTCTCGTCTTGGGCCAGTTAAAGGGATTCTGGAAAGGGTCTGTCAAGATTTGCTGGGATGGTCAGGGCTGAGGATATGCAAGGAAAAGCAAAGATCTGGGCCAGGAGGTGACTGATGTCTCCAGAGCATGGATCAAGGATGACCCCAGCACGGAGAGGTCCGTGATGGAGCTCCAGCAGCCCTCTTCCTCTTCCTCACATGAAGCCACAAGCAAGGTTTGTCTCCTGAAGGTGAGGAGGCACCAGGGAGGCATTAGCTTGGCTGGACCCCCATCAGTTGGCAGTGCCCTGAGGGATGCCAGATGCTCCAGCTGCAGTGCCCTGCCGGCATGGTCCCAGTCCCGGTCCAGGTCCCCTGCCCTTCCCTGCCCTGCCCTGCCCAAACCACCCCCGGTAAACGTTAACAGGCCGTGGGGAAGCGGGAGGCGTCCGAGTGATTCATCCACGAGGCATTTAATCGCCTCCTTCAACCCAGCTCCCGTCCCTCGTCCGTCCGTGCGCCCCTTCCAGCGGGGCTCGCTTTAATTCTCCACCAGCCGATTATCCGCTTGGCTGCCCGCCGCCGGGGAGGCACCGGCTCCCGGCGGGAGCGGGAGGGCGATGGCACGGGGCTGCCATCGAGCCGTGGAACAGGGCGAGCAGGGCTTCCCCTCCCATTCCCGGCAAAGCGGGGTGCTGCCTCCCCCGCGGCGGGGTGTATTCCCGCCCCGCCGGGATTAGTCCTGGCATAAATAGTCTCTTGGCTAATGGAGCGTCTTCCTCGGCTGGGTTTAGATTCCCGGGCTGTGTGTACGCATGCCTTCAGCCCGCAAAACTCCCCGACATAAACAAGGCTGAGGCCGAGAGATGCCGGCTCCTCTGCCCAGGGGATGCGGGAGGACCGGGATAAATCTCCGGCGTCGCTACCCGTAGCCACTTCTCTGGAAAATCGCGGTTCTCTCACGTCCGGTGAAGGACAGGAGGAGAGGAGCAGCCCTTGGGGAAAAGCGAGTCCAGAGCTGCCGGGGCTGGAACGAGGAAGCGGCAAAGGAAAAGGCAGTGAGCAGCCAAGGGAGCAGATGGGGGATTGCAACAGAGCGGAGGAGCGGCGGGATCAGGCGGGGGTCACACACGTCCCTGTCCCGCCTAGAGCTTGCTCCCAAACCCTGTGGACCCCACATTTCGAGGAAGAAAGGCAGCAGGAGCACGGGGAGGTGCTACACAGGGGCCACGGGGACAAATTTATCCACTCGCTGGGCACGTTCCCCCTAGAAACCATCCCTGGGGTCTCCTCCCCATGGCACGGTTCCCCCGGGATGAGGGATCTGGCATGAGATGGGGACGAGGGCCACGAGCCGGGCTCTCTGCAGCCACTCCGCTACCAAATAAGGCCTCCGCCGAGCCTTTTACATGCCGTTCTCGCCCGGCCAAAGTGACGTGAGCGCCTTCCCAAATTGTTCTGGCTCCTCCGTAGGGAAGCCCCTGGCCCACAGCTCCTCTGCACGGGGGGGTCCTTCCCGAGGGGACAGACGAGAGGGACGGGGAGGCCACCCGGGGTGCCAGGAGCAGGCAGGAGGAGCAGGGATGAAGCTTTTCCCAGCTTTTCCCAGCTGCCAGCACCCTGACTGACCTCCCCGGCATGGGGGCTGCTTCTCCCTCTTTTCTGAGGGCAGAGGAGGCTGGAAGGCAAGCCCTAGGATGGGGGAGGTGAGGCACGGTAGCTGGGCAACCCCCTTTCCTTCGCTTGAGCAAATAGACAGCACTGGCTCCTCCAGCCTGGGCTGGAAAAAGTCCTGCAGGGCAAATACCTGCCTGGCACTGAGCGGGCATCGCCCTCCTCATGTGTCCGCGGCTCTGTGGGTGACCCTGGCACCTCCCAGCCGTCCCCTCCGGGTGTTCCCTTTGTCCAGCATCACTGGCTCAGGGGGTCCCCAAGATCAGCAGTGCAGCAGCCAGCCCTAGGCCCTCCGGATCCGACCGGGAGCAGAGTGAGGGCTGCCCTTTGCCAGGTTTTACAGTACAGGCCATGCTTTTGGAAGAGGCAACAGGCCTCCACGGATGTCACCCACTGCCGTGCCAACAGAGCCACAGCCGCAGCATCATCCCACACACACCCAGCAAGGCCACCAGTGCAAAAAACTCCCCAGTATTTAGGAAACTTTGGTAAGTTTGAAGCCAGAACCTCCTCTGGAATAAGCAAATGAAGACAGGCAACAGCGGGCGCTGGAGCTGCGGTGATTGATCCCAGCGTTGGCCCCCAACCAGGGACCCCAGCAGAGAGCCAGCAGGGACCTGCTGGAGCAGCCCAGCCGGGTGGAGGGTGAGGAGGAAGACGAGATCTCAGATACCAATCTTCCCGCTCTCACACTCACAAAGTCCAAATTCCCATCTCAAGGTCACGGGCAAAACCAGGAACTTTCTGGCTGGAATGAAGAAAACCAGCTCTCACCGTGGCGGGGTGTGGGGTTGGTCTCCCGTGGGGACTGGGAGCGTTTCGGACATTTTTGGGGTGAGACCCTTAGGAAAGAGATGCGCGGCCGCTGGATGCACGGTAGCCACGGGCACCGGCAGCACCAGGCACCGGCAGCGGGACCGGGGGAAGCCTGGTTTATCCCCCACGGCCCCCGGGGAGATCCGTGTCTCCCCGCGCCCGCAAGTTCCCTCCGGCGAGGCGGAGGGGCGTTTGCGGGGAGCCCCAGGGAGATGCGGACGGTGAATGGGAGCGTCCCGGTGAGCGGGGATGCGCTCCCGCCGCTCGTCCCCGTTCCCCCCGCAGCAGCCCCGGGTATCGGAAGCCGACGGGACCCGCCCGGCGCGGACCCCCCATCCCGCGTGGGTGCGTGGGCAGCCGCGGAGCGCAGCTCCCGGGAGTCGCGGTGGGGGGAACGGAGAAGCCGGACCCCCTCCGCCCCAAATCCCCCCGTGTGTGTCCCCCCGGTACCTCCTCCTCGGGCAGGCTGGTGTCGGCGAGGCCGCCCTCCCTGTCGGTGGGGACGCTGCTCATGGTGCGACCGGCCAGGCTCCTCGTCCCGCCGGCAGCAGCCGCGTCCGGGCGGGCGGTGCTGGGGGCTGGTCCCGGCGGCGGCGGGGGGGCCGGGGCGGGGCGGCGCGGCCGGGGAGGGACGGGGCGGGGGCGCGGCGGAGCGGCGGGGACGGACCCGGCCGCGCCGCGGGGGGATGGAGGAGCGCAGGACCGGGGATACGGGAGGTGGGCGATGGGACGCGCGATGCGGCACACGGGGCTAGGAACATGGGACATAGTGCCGGGAACATAAGACAGTGCTGGAGCAACAGGACAGAAGACTCGGGACACAGGACACAGGGCTGGGAATACAGGACGGTACTGGAGAAATAGAACACAGTGTAGGACGTGGGGTTGGGGATACCGGATACAAAGCTGGAGACACGGGGCACAAGCTCAGGGAGATGGACACAGAGACATGAATGCATCAGGGCTGTGGGGCAGAGGAGGGGACAGTGCTGGGGACACCTGATGGAGGGCTGGGGGCAGTGGAAGGACCAGTGGGGGCTCATCACCCCAATCAGCCCCACCTGGAGGCTCAACCCCTCCCTGCCTGGCCCAGGGACTACATTTAGTCTGGGCTTTTGCTGAGCCTGGCATCGTGCACGCTTCGTTCTAGAGCTCGGTGTTGGGCCGCTCCAGCCCTGCACAGCCCCACGGAGCAGGCTGTGGTCCCGCAGGGCTGCACTTGGCTCCGCAGCAGCGTGACGGAGACCCTCGGGGCGGAGACCAGCAGCTGTGTGCAGGCCAGGTGCTGCCTGCACACAATGCTCGGGGGCCGGAGGTGACGCCGAGGACATCCTGACAGTGGCACAGGGCTCGTTCCCAACGGGCGCGTAAGGTCACCTCCTGCCCTTCTGCGCCTCACCGGCCGAAACAGACCCGGGGGTAGCTGCCCGCCTGTCCTGCCGGCTGCCCAAGGCACACAGCCTGGCCACCCACAGGTTTGCAGCCTCCTCGCAGCAGCGATTTACAGGGCAGAACCTCTCGTGCCGGAAGGGAGGTGGAAATGAGCTACGCCAGCTGGATTTGGGAGAGTGGGAAGTGTCTGACCCCCCAGAGGGAATCTAGAGTACAGGGACTGATCTAGTCACCCAAATCTGCCGGAGCCTCTGGCTTTTGGGGTAGATTTTCAGCAAGGGGAGAATTTAGAGATGTGTTTTATCTCCCGTTGTTTTTTCTCTCCATTGGCATCTCCACAAAAAGCTCTGGCTGGACAGCAGGCGGGACAATATTCACAACCCTTATTTGGACTCAGCTTTGGGGAAGAGCTGCAGTTCCCCAGCAGCACTGGAAGCCAGGAGGGAATCACAAACCGGAAAAGGGGGAGGTTTGGATTCTTTATAGCCATAAAACTGAACTTGGGGATAAAATCCAATTTGCTCCAGCAGATACTGCACTTGCTTCCTTGCCTTGAAACCTCTTTTTCTAACCCAAAGCCGTGTGTCACAGGAAAATTGGAGTTCCTCTGTGGTAGTTGCTGATCCTCTCTCCCTCTTTCCTACAGGAATTTCTGCTGCACCGATGTCCATCTGTGCTGGGACACAACGCTGGACTGTGTCATACAGGGATAGATGGGGACTCTGGGGGGACGGCTGGGAAGCGTGGTGAGCTCTGAGGCTCCAGTGGAACGAGTGGACCAGGTTCAGCTCTGCTCTGGATCTTCGGGCAGGGAATCCGAGCAGGAGCAGCCTTCGGGGTAAGGGGCAGAGGGTGGCAGCGGATCCGTGGAGCCTTTCCCAGCTCAGAGCCCGCGTGGATCCGGGATGCGGGACCGGGAGCCCCGAGGAGCGCGGGGTCACACCGCCCTCTGCCGGCGCGACGGCGGAGGTGGCACAGTCAGAGTCCTGCGGCTGCCTCGGACAGCACAACGGGATATTTTATTGCCAAAACAAAGCACGAACAACTGAGTTAATGCGTGAGGGACAACAGACTCAAAGCAGGTCCGAGATTCCCGGTGGAAGATAAATAAATTACACAAACAAGCAAGAAATCATTTGATGGAATGAGGATGTGGAGACCGGATGCTTCCCGGATTGTGTAGTGCTTCCAAGGACCAAACACCCAGCCTGGCACTGGAAACATGAGGTGGGTGCTCAGCTCTTGACAGGGGTGGATGAGGCCTTCATGGTCTTCTTCAGGTGGTGGTAGTTGGGCAGGATCTTCATCAGGAAATCCAGCTGCAGCGTCTGGGGCTGGAAAGAGAGGCAGGGGAGGTGAGGGAACAGCCCGAGGGCAACAGCCTGAGGGGGACAGGAGGTGGCGGTGTGTCCCCCCGTGTCACACACCTGTGGCCGCTCGGTCTGCACACGCCGCAGGCAGTCGGCCCCGTAGATGACGGTGTTCTCCGGGATCACCTCGTAGGTGTTGACGTTGCAGCAGGCCCCGATGATGCAGCCGCTCGTCAGGATCACGTTCCTGCCAACAAACGCTGCCGGGGAGAGGGAGAGAGGAATCCCTGTAAGCATTGTCCCCACAGCATTTATAGGAGCAGGATCTCAGCAGGGCCAAAGGTACTGAGCCGACAATTACCTTTGGATTCAATGACGTTGTTGTCTCCCACCTTCATCGCTTGGGAATCTACAGGTCTGTGTTAAGTAAAACTAAAATGCTTTGCTTTTTTTTCCAACAGGTGAAAAACCCGCATGCCAATTTCAAACCACCACCCAGCCCTGGGCCATATGAACCCTGACAGAGTGCACAGATGCTTCCCCCTGGAGGGATCCAGAAGCACAGTGTGCCACATGGTTTGTTACTGCACAGCAAGGATACAGCACCCGACCTCAAAAACATTGTTGGTGCCAATGACCATGGGCTTAGGCTCCACATCCTCACTCTCTGGGGTAATATTTTCAGGATACCTGCAAGGAGGAAGAACAGATTTCCATGTCTGAGATCACCATGACAGTGTTCTTTGTGGCAGCTCAACTTTGTGACAGACTGAAGCCACAGATATCCCACCCACTTGAGCAGGACTGCCAGAATTCTTCTACTCTGAGAAGGATTCAGAAGGGGGACTTGGCAACCATGCAGTATCTGAAGGGGGCATAGAAGGAAGCTGGAGAGGAACTCTTTGCCAAGAACTGGAGTGACAGAACAAGGAGTAATGGGTACAGATTTAAAGAGGGGAAAATCAGGTTAGATATATAGAAGAAAATCTTTACTGTGATGGGGGTGAAATCCTGGAATAGGCTGCCCGGGGCAATACTGGCTGCCTCAGGCCAGGTTGGACAGGGTTTGAAGCAACCTGGGATTTTGCAAGGTGTCCCTTCAAACACTCAACATTTGATGATTCTGTGATTCTGTGGCTTCTCCCCAAGCCATAGTGCCACATGTGTACACAAAAGCACGAACCTTGGTGAATTTTTTTTTAATAAACTCTACCTCCCCAGGGATTTAAGCCCCCCCTGGGTGTTCCACAGACCCATTGATGATGAGAGCCTGCTCCTCGATCAGGTTCCCTTCTCCGATGACAATAGGCCCCGCCTCGGCGATGATGCGGGCCTTGGGATGGATCACGGTCCTGGGCCCTGCGGGGACAGCCCGGCGTCACCCCACGCCCACACCCGGAGGGGGCACAGGGCCGGGGTGGGGGACAGGGCCCTTACCGATGGTCACGTCCCCGCGGATCTCGCTCTCCACGCACACCACGGCGCCCGGCGCGATCTTCACGCTGCGGGGAGCGACGGGGCGGTCACGGGGGGTCAGACCGGGGATCGGGCGGGGATGCGGGGGGGATCCTGCATCCCGGGCTGGTTGTGGGAGGGATGGGGGGAGAAGCGGGAGGAAGCGGGAGGGATCGGGAGGGATCCGGGGGCATCGGGACCCACCTCTTCTGCGCCTTCTCCGCCATGTCCGCGGCCAGCGGCGCCTGCGCGGGGCGGAGCTCCGGGGGCGCGGGCGGTCCCGGTCCCGGCGGCGCCACCGCCCGGCCCCGAGCGCTCCGCCCGGAACACCGGGAACAGCGGGAACACCGGGAGGGGCGGGGCCGGCCAGGTGAGGAAAAGGGATCGGAAAAGCTCTCGGCTGAGCTGGGCACCTGGAAAGAGAGACCGAGTCCCGTGTTCGGGGCTCAGAGACGGTCCTGCGTGGTCGTGCTTAAGGAAGAGACACCAGCTCCCGTGTTTGGGGGCACCAGGCTCATTCGGCCCTTTTTAGGGTCCGGAAAGAAATAAATCAGGCTCCTTTTTAAATTTTTTTCTTTCAGAAACAGAGACAAAGACCTGTGCTTTTTTTTTTTTTTATAAGAGGCGGGGAGCTCCACGTCCTGCGTTTTTGACACATGGGCTGTCTTAGGGGTGTGAAACAGACTCCTGTCGTGTTTGGGGCGTGCCAAAGGAGGCAGTGTAAGGCTTTGCTCAGAGAGCCCAAATCCTGCGTTTTAGGGGGTCAGGGCAGACCCTAGACTGGGGGGGGGAGGGGGCCGGCCCTGGTGGGGCGGAGCGAGCAGCCCCCCTTGGGCGGGGCCGGCACAGGTGAGCGGGGCGGGCCTAACACAGGTGCGCAGGGCTCCAGGGCGGCTGCGCGGGGCGGGACCGAGGGCATTTAAACCCCGGAAACCGCCGCAGGCGCCATTTTCCCCCCAGAGCTGGCCCTCGGGGGCCCAGGTGAGGTTCTCTCTATCCCTCTTTTCTCCCCCTCTTACTTTTTACCCCTTTCCCCCCTAGTTTCCTATTCCCTCCTCTCCCTGCCCCTCTATGCACCTCCACCCCCCCACTCCTTTCCTTTCTCCCGCCCCTCGCTGTTATCCAACCCGACCGCCCTCTATTCCCCCTACCTCTCCTACCTGCATCCCTCTCCTCCACACCTAGCCTCCTCCTCTACCCCTCTGCTCCCCTACAAACTCTAACTCCTGCCTCAGTTCTTCCTTCTCATTCTTCATCCCCCCTGCCCATCCCGACCTTGCCTCCCCTTACTCTCCCCTCCTGCTCTTCTATGTCCCTCTTACCCTTCCCTTATCCCACCTTATTTCTCTTATCCCTCCATTATACCCCTATCTCTCCCTTATCCTCTGTATCTCTCCCTTCTCTCTCCTGTCTGTCCCTTGTCCCTTTGTTTGCTCCCCCGCAGCCGCGGGGTTCGGGGTGCCGGATAATAAAGCCCAGAGGGCCGGAGCCGGCGCCCCTCGCGGGAATCCCCCCACGGGGCCGGAGCCGCT